CTCCTGGAGGAGGGGAGGGGCACACCACCTGAGGGTGGGCGGCACCTGTGTGCACGCTCACACACGTGTGCTTGTTCACACACATAGGCACGAGCCCTCTGGGCACACAAAGCCCAGGCCTTGGGCAAGGGGTGGTGGAAAGGGGGGCTCATGAGGCCCCACACAGCCCTTCCCGCAGCCCACCTGTGTCCCTGGCCCTGCTTCCCGAGGGCCACCCACACCCAGGCCTCTGGCTCCGGACAGGAGCGAGAGCCCTGGCCTTGCCTCAGGCCCACCACAGCCCTCCCGGTCCCTGTCTGCCAGGCCCTGGAGCCCTCGCGGGTCCTGCTGGGCAGAGCAGACCCAATGGTGCCGGCATCTGCCACCCTGTCTCCAGGAGGGGGCCCAGGGTAGGTCTGAGCACGCGGGGGCCTCCTCAGGATCTTAGCTCGGGGTGTCCTTTGCAAAGCGAACCCTGCTCCTGGCCGCACGAGAGGCTCCATGCTCTGGATGACACAGTGCCCAGTGTGTGCCCATCGGAGCCTCGCCACACTGAGGGCCCTCACCCTCCGCTGGGCCGTGGGAGCCCGAGACACCCGAGGGCTGTGTGGGTCCCGGCCCAGCACAGAGCCAAAGGCAGGCTCCCCGTGGACCCCCGGAGGTAGGCACAGTACAACCAGGCGCTCTTGGGGTACTGCTGCTGCTCCCCACCCATCAGTGCTCCAATTCCTCAGGGGCCACATGGGGTACTTCCCATACGGGTGACCGTCCCCGTCTGCAGATTCGGTTCCTCTTCTCCAGCCGAGGACTCAGCAGAGCCTCCCCTGGGGGAGGGGTCCTGTCCCGACAGCAGCTCCCGCCGGGCACCCAGGGAGCCTGTCCCCGACTCAGAACTGCCAGGCTGCACGCACGGGAGGGGGTGCTGGGCTGCAGAGCAGCCTGCCCACGGGTCCGCTCACTCACACTGGCCTGTTTTGTTTCTGTGGGGGTGATGGTGTCTACCCCCAGGGCCCCTGTGTGGCTCCCCAGGAAAATGCTTATAAAAAACAGCACGAGCCTCCCGGAGGCAGAGCGGCTACGTGCAGGGGTCAGAGCCGCCCACCCAGAGCCTAACCCACAGCCTGACCAAGAGGCTCCGGCCAGTGACAGAACAGCTGATGCCCCCCCATGTCCCCGAGGCAGGGCGTGTTGCCGGATCCTCAGCCCCTCGAAAACCAGGAGCCACGGGCCTGACGAGGGCTGGGCGAGGGGGACCCCGCGCCATCGCCAGCGGACAGCGAGGAGCTCGGCCCAGCCCTTGCCCCTCAGGGTGTACGCTTGGTGGCAGAGGCAACCGGGGGCCCAGCCCTCCCCTAGCCAAAGGCAGGCACATGACTCCAGCTAGCCCAGCCAATCAGACTCTCCGCCCCGGACTTTGACACTGGCCAAGAGGGAAACAGCCAGTCAATCTGGCCCAGCGGGGGCTTCCCTGCCCACCTGCCCGTGCATGGGCCCTGCCCCCCACCCCCCGCGCCAAGTTCACGGGCTTGTCCACGCGAAGGGTGCTCTAGAAGCTTCCACCCAGCTCCTCGTGTGCTCTGTCGTTGGTACGTTTCTGTCACCTGCAGCCTCAGAACCCTGACTGCTACCGTGCGTGGGACACAGGCCCAGCACTGAGCACCAGGAACCATGGACACGGATCCAGACACATGGTGATTCGATGCAGGTGACTAAAAGGGCACATGGTGCGACCCTAGTTTTAAGTGAATCCCCCACCCCCCACCGCCCCATAGGTGTACATGGACAGACTCCGGCTGGGAAGGGCTTTCTTCTGTCTCTAAGCTCTTTCCTGTTTCCAAATGCCCCATGAATGTGTATTCCTTTCGTAAACGTGAAGAGAAGCAATAAATGCTGTTGTTTAACCAGAGTGAACTTCCTTCCGATTAGTGGTGAGGATGACATCACGGCCAGCCCCACCCGTCAGACGTGACCGCTCAGCACCAGGCTGCTGTTAGGCACAGACTGACCTTGCTGGAATCGCATTACATTAAAGTACTGTGATCCCTGCTGGGAGACCCCTACATGGTCTCAAATTCCTTCTCAGTGGCCATTAAGTCTGGACGCACCACCTCCCGAGGCAGTGTGTTCAGACCAGAGGGACTCTTACTTTGGGCTGAGGCTCAGGCTTCTCGCTGCCTCAGGGCCTTTGCATGTGCTGTCCCCACTGCCTGGAACCTCTTCCCCAAGGTCTCTGCATGGCTACTTCAGTCTTATCTTTAGGGTCTTGCTGGAAAGATCCAAGCACACAGGGGCTGGTGAGAAATGGCCCCCACACTGGGTAAACCTGAGGCAACGGCTACTATCTGGCCTAGAAGGTGGGCCAGTGTGCCCACTGCAGGCCAGCTCCAGGCAAGTCCCAGCCTGCTAGGTGTTCAGAGTCTGGCTTGAAGCCTCCATGGAAGGCCAGGCAGCACCTCCTCCAGGAAGCCTTCCCTGACTGCCTGACCCCACCACAGCACTACTGCACTGGGCCATTAACTGCCCTCCTCCATCAGCTCGCAACTTCCGAACCCCCTGGACTGGTGGAGACAGGGAGCAAGAATGAGAGAGACTGACGGTGGAGAGAGAGAATGACCCCACTGTGTGATTCTGGGCCTCTGCTTTCAAATCTGTGCCATGGAGACAGTCATCTCCCAGGCTGTGTAACAGAGGGCTAGTGGAAGATGTCCCTGCATAGCACCCCGAAAAAGGGTGGCCCATGGAGCTTTCCAGTGGGTTTCACCAGGGCTCCCAAAAGCAGATGGTGGGCAGACAACAGCAAAGAAGGGCAAAGGCCGGCGTTCCATGCGACCCCACGCCAGGCCCCGTTTCCCCTGGATGCTCAGGAGGTGGAAGTGTCCACCCAGCCAGGCCCAGCCCACATGGCAGGAGACTGCCAGGCCCCTGAAGCCCAGGCTGGGCCAGACACAGACAGGTTCCCAGGCCAAGAGGTCAGGACGACGAGGAGTCCACCACCCACACGCGGGACAGAAGCAGTAGCCCCCCCCACAGTTAGGAATGCTTCACCAGGGAGGCAGGAAGGGTCCTCGGCCAAGGCCCAGGCGCCCCATTGCCCACCCACCCAGGGAGCTCCCTCTGCTGCACACCCACCGGGAGCAGAGCCCGGGGTCCTCACACACCCACCACAACCCTGCAGAGAGGGCGCAGCAGCCCAGGTCTCGGGACTAGGCAGTGAAGGTTCAGAGAGGTTGAGCGCTTATCCAAAATCACCAGCACAGAGGGCAGAGGCAGGATGCATGCCCAGGTCTGGCTCACCCCACAGCCCCCCGCCAGGAGCAGGGGGCGGGGGACGGGGGACAGAGACAGGCTGGTTTCCACCCCGTGAATTATTCAGTGGCTAATTCTGCTCCTCAGAGAGGAGGCAGGAGAGAGAGTGAGTCAGAGCCCTCCCACAGTGAAGGAGAGAACAGTGCTCACAGCGCTGGCACAGAAACCAGGGTCCTCCCGGGGGCAAAGGGCCCTGTCGGAGGCCAGGCTGTGCGGAGGGGTGCCTGGCCACCACCCCAAGGCCTCCCAGGGCTTCAGATGTCTGCCCCTGGCTCACTCCCTACCAGGCGTCCTGGAATCCCAGCGGGCAGGCCCCTAGGAGGACGCACCGGGAACGCGGGGTCGGCAGCCCACAGCCAGCAGGAGAGCTCTGCCGGTCAGACACCCGAGCTGACAAGTGGCAGGGCACTTCCTCCAGCGAAGCCCAGCCTCGTGGCCCTGGGCACAGACGTGGCACAGCTGTAGACGGAGCTCCTGGGGGCACAGAGGTGTTGCCCCAATGCTGGTCACCACCCAGGGCTGGGCTTCTAGAACGTAGGTGTTGGGTTTTATAAAATCCTCCCGTCTCTGGGCATGCCTGGGCCAATCCCTCGCCCCCTTCCCAATCTGCTCAGGCACAGGCCAGCAGTGCTGGGGAAGCAGGAACCAGGGAGCACTGAGGCTGGGAGCCTGGGGCTCCCCTTCAGAGCTGGGGTGCCCATGGCATCCTCGGCCTTTGCTTCTGGTTCTCTCTGCCTGCATATGGGAGGCCACGGAGAGCAGAGTTCTGACCAGGTGAGGTGTGACACGGTCCCTGACACTGGGTTCTCGGACCATCTGGACGAGCAAAGCCACCTCCACCCCACGCTGGAGGCTGTGGATGATCTGCCAGCCAGAAGCCCAGAGGTGTTCCAGGTGACCAGGCACCCGGGTCATGAGGCTGCTGGAATCGGATCCCAGGCAGCAAGGCAAAGCCCACAGCCTGCTCCGCTGCCCTGCAGTCCATGGCTCAGTGACAGGGTTGGCACTGGGGTTTGGCATGAGGGCTCCACGGGGAGAGCCCGGTCAATAGAGAGGGTTGCAAAGGGCCTCAGCACCCCTGGCTCTGCCCAGGCTCAGCCCCCTGCCAGCTTTCCAGACTGAGGTCCACCTTGTGTCCCTGTGGCGCGGCCTTCTCCCTCAGGGGCTACTGGCAGCCAATCAGGGGCAGGCCAGGTGTCACCACGCACATACTGCACGGTGTCCATTCCACAGCCTGCAGCCCAGCAGGTCTGAGCTGTGGGGTCCAATGGGTAGGAGGCTCTGCCTGCAACAGCACCCCCCCACGGACAGGGGCCTGGGCAGGAGCTGACAGCTGGTGGAGGGGGCTCCATGGAGGGGAGGGAGGGGGCTCCACGTAACCCCAGGAAAGAGGGCCTTAAGTGACACCAGAAGGGAGGCTAGAATCTGTAGGAAGGCCATGGACCCTCGATGGGGGACGATGGGGGTCCTTACACGCTGTAAAGAGAAGGGAGTGACCCATGACCCAGGAGGAGACCCTCAAGAAGGGAGAGTGGCTGTGACTGGATGGAAAGTGGGGCGTATTTAGACCCCCAAAAGGAGGGGGACAGCGACCCTCGGGGAGGGGGCTCACGACCCACGAGGAGTAGGGGATCGATGGGGGAGGGGGCGTCTCCAGACCTTTGAAAGGGCGGCCGTGACCCGGGGCCCTAACCCCGACCGGGGGCCCGCGTCACCTGCTGGTAGTCGGGGTCCTCGGGCCGGAACTGGCTGCTGGTGGTCTCCCAGCGCAGGTCGAAGTGCGGCAGCCGGTGCAGGAGGTTCACCCACCAGGGCGCCGCGTAGCTGACCCCGGCCATGGCGGGCCGGCCGCCTCCGGCACGCGGCCGCGGGGGTCCTCGCTGGCCCCGGCGCCGGGTTCAGGGGCCCGCCGACCCCAGCCTGGCCGCCCGCATCGCCCGCGCGCTCCTGGGCCCGGCCCGGCCCGGCTCGGCCCGGCTCGGCCCGGCTCGGCTGCGCTCGTCTGCGCTCGGCTCCGCTCGGCCGCCCGTGCCCGCCGCCTCTTTGTTCGCGGCCGCCGCCGCCTCCGCGCGCCCCGCCCGCCGCCGCAGGCCCGCCCCCGGCCCGCCATTGGCTCGCCACCGGCCGGCCCCGCCCACCCGCCGCTCTGCGACTCCGCCCCCGCGTCGCCATTGGCGCGTTTCTCTGGGCCCCGCCCACCAGGGGCTCCGCCCCCAGCCGAGGGGCTCCTGGCAGGGAAGGCCCGAGGACCAGCGCCCTCTCCCCACCCGCAAATGGGAATGGGGCCGGGAAGCTGGCTACCCTTCACCCCGGGCGGTCACTCTCGGTTCGACCATTCATTGCAAGTTCATTGAGCTTCTGCGGGGGTTGGGCTGGCCGAGGCGCTCAGCAAGGGACCCAGTGGCCTGTCCGGAAAATATGTGTGATCTGCATTCAGAGCCTGGCTTGATGACCTGGAGCTGTGTGATCTTGGGCTAGTGACTTAACCTCTCTGTGCACCAATGTCCTCGTCTGCAAAAGGGAAGAACAATGAGTGTTAAGTGCTCCCAGCATCAAAGTGTGACCCACTACGATGGAAGGGGACCTGAGGGTAGATTGAACCCCCTACCTGGTCTTCCCTTTGGGAAAGGTTTTGTTTTGGGTCTAGACTTAAGAGAAAGCCTGGCATCCTCGAACCTGGAAACTCAGGCAACTGCCAGGGAGCACCCAGCACAGACTGTGGAACTACACAACCAACACTTCTTATTGGGGTGTCTCTGTGCCTATTAAAGTGGAGATGGGAACCCTGAGAACAGAGGAGACTGGAGATGCTGTAGGTGCTTGGCCCTGGTGGACCCCTCTCTCTGCACGCAGGGTCAGTAGGTGTGTCGTTTTGGCTCTGGCTCCTCAGCACCCTGGGTCATTACTTCTGGACCTGAGTTCTGAGAAACAGGTTTCCACTGCTGAGCGCTGCTACCCCTGCTCCAGCTCAGCCGGCTCTGTAGGCAGACGGGCCCTCCTGGCAGGCTGGGCCGGGCTCCTGCAGGCGGGGGCAGCTCTGGGCAGTGCTGCTCAGGAAGCCTGTCCATCTGCTCATCCGACTGCCCTGTCTCACCTGTTTTCCTGGGATAAGGCGGCAGGCACGGGAGGGGTGGGGCGAGAGGTCTTAGCAAAGCCGTGGTTTCCACTCTCAGGGTAATTTACAGACAACACCCGGTTGGGGAATAACGGCCCGGCCCGCGGAGGGAGGTCACACTTGCCATCCCTAAAGGACACAGTCCTGGCTCCTGTTATCAACAGCAGATCACACGGCCACGGACCAGGCTTTGCCCCAGCACTAGTGTAGCAGGCCCACTAAGGCCCCATATGGGAAGTACAGGGCCATGAGCTCCGCTCCAGGTGTACAGAGAGGCCTTACAAAACTGTGCATTTTCCTCTGATAAGGCCAGAAAGCCTGACCCAAACATTACAGGAAATGAGAACTCAGTATAATAGATTGGGTTGTGTCCCTCCAAAAGACCTGTCCAGCTCCTATGTCCTCGGCCTATGACTGTGGTCCCACCTGGAAATGGGGTCACTGCAGACGCGATCGAGTTAAGAGGAGGTCATACTCGATTACCGAGAGCCCAGGACAATGGCGGTGTCCGTATCACAAGAGAGATTTGGTCGTGCTGGTGCGGGGAGAGAGACGTGGGGAGAACACTGAATAAAGATGGAGGCGGAGATGGGGGACGCGAGCCCTGAGGAATGCCCGAGCCACCAGAAGCTGGGAGAGGCCTGGAGCACCCCCGCCTCTCAGCCTCAGAAGGAACCAGCCTCGACGGCACTGTGACCTCAGCCTCGGCCCCCAGAACAGACACAGTAAGTGCTGTGGTTTAAGCAGCCGGTGTGAGGTCCGTGGTTACAGAATCCTTAGGGCTTCGGTCGGTGAAGCCTTTCCCGAGGGGTCCATGAGGAAGAATGACGAGGGGGGGAAGTGGAGAAGAGGAGGGGGCCCGTATGTACGGTTCTGGAGGACCACTGCCAGGGGACCCTGAGCCCCGAACCTGCTGCTGCTTGGGGCCCGGGTGCTGGCGAGAAAGTCACCATGGGACTGAAAAGCCCCCAGGAACATGCTTTGCTGGGAGGGTCGGGGCTCTGGAGTCGGACACTTGGAACGGTGTGAGCTCAGGGAGGCATCTCTACAAATCCTGTGCCTGAACTGCAAAGTGGGGTTCAGGGACCCCAGGAGAGCGAGGATGAGAGAGAATGCCAGATATGGGGAGCAGGGCATGAGGAGAACCGGCCCCCTCCTTTTGCCTGGCGTCATTAGCCTCTGGTTGTGGCTGGAGGCTGGCCTTGGCCCACTCCCCAGACGGAGCAGCTGAGGCCCAGGTCCCACCACTGCCAGGGAGGCCTGAGAGCACCACCCATTTAGGGGACCAGATTCCAGCCTCGAGCTGTCGGCCGCAGAGAAGATGTCCTGAAATAGGGTAGCAGTGGCCCAAGAAGTCAGAGATGACTCGGTCGGCACTGCTGGCCCCTGACGGGCATAAGGGAGAAGCCTTCGATGACTCAGGGGTGACTCAGGAGGAAGGAGCTGACAGGGAAACCGCCGGCTCTCCCCAGCGAAGGAAGCAACCCCAGGCCATGATAAGGAGCCGCACTCTCCCATCCACTCTCCCATGGGGGCCGGAGGGCCCCACTACTACCCCCGAGGACAGGAAGGACAACCTTTGCTGTCACCAGCCAAGAGCCCCAGGCCAGGTGCCCCGAGTGCCTAGGGTACATTCCTTCTCCATCCCTGGTCCCCGTCTTCACTCACCAAGGCCTCTCCTTTCTCTTCTGTTTGCATGAACTATCTGATGTCCAGCTCCAGGGACCTCTGTGAGCTTGGCCCTGCTGTGGCCAAAATGGGGACAGTCATACTTAGCGTGTGGGAATGAGAGAAGCATATAAAATACCGGGACACAGCAGCACTATTCACACCGGGCAAAGGATGGAAACAACCCAAAAGTCCACCAGCTGGTGAACACAGAAACCAGCTGTGGTCCAGCCATACAAGGGAATACTATGCAGCTGTAAAAAGGACCGAGGTGCCGACCGGCTACAGTGAGGAGCCTCAGACCCAGGGTGCTGAGTGAGCTGGACACAGCCAACCACACAGTGTGTGATTCTGTTCACATGAAATGCCCCGAAAGACGCATCCTTACAGACCGAAAGTGGTTCCTGCTGCCAGGGGCTGGGGGAGGGTGGGGTGCTTTCCTGGGCGATGAAAAGATTTCCAGGACAGACAGGTGGCTGCACAACACTGTGAACAGACTGACTGCCACTGAATTGTGCAGCTTGAAAATGGTTAAAATGGTTATGTAGATGTACCCCACACCCTCAAAAGGGCCTCCCTCAGGGTCTTGGTCCCTCCCTCCCTCCCCTTCTTCACTCCAGGGATCAGAAAGTCTGAGCGCGAGGTCTGAGCTCCTTGGAAGCATCTGGAATGGAGGGAGAGGGCAGGCCAGGGACTACCCGGGGTCCATCTCCGGGCCAGGAAGGCGGCTGGGTTGAGGCTCCTGAATGGTTGTCCCAGGACGTGTGGGAGCCTGGAGGAAGGCCAGGTGGGGGCTGGGCCTCCCGATGCTGGGGCGGAAGGCCAGAACAATGGAAGCCCCCGCGTCTGGACCAGGTCCAAAGAGGTTCATATTTTCCGTGGAGATAGAGCTCATGAGAAAGCCGGAGGCTGGGTTTCCCTGGCGCCTGCCGCGATGTGGCCGGGTGACGCGCTGGCCACACAGCCAGCCCAGTGCCTGCTCACCACAGACCCCTGGCTCCTGGGTCCTGGCCACAGGAAAACCACGGGGTGCTGCTTTCAAGCTGGCCACAATGGAATTGGCCCCGTGGCTCGGGAGCTGGGAGAGATGCCAGCCAGCGCGGCCCCGAGAGGTCCACGCTGTGGCCACACAGAGCCGGCCAGAGTGCGACGTGAGCAGCCGCCTTGCCGGGTCACCTAGCCCGCAGCCCGGCCCTCCGAGAGCACCGGAAGCGGCAGGACAGCAGGGTCAGCCTCTAAGCGGCCAAGGATGCTGTACAGGCCCAGCCCAGAGCCAATCCCACTCAGAACCTCCTTACTCTTAAAAAAAAAAAGTGTTTTTTTTTCTTTTTATTGATTTTAGAGAGGGGGAGAGAGATAGAAACATGGATGAGAGAGAACATCGATTGGCTGCCCCCTGCATGTCTGCCACTGGGGATGGGCCCACAGCCTGGGCGTGGGCCCTGATCGGGAAGTGAACCGGCGACCTCTTGGTGCAGGGTTGACACTCAACCACTGAGCCTCACCGGCCGGGCGAAGCTCCTCACTCTCAGGCAACACACGGTACTGACAGGGCTGGTCTCTGGGTCCCAAGCCCAGTGAGATCAACGGCAGCCCCGAGGGAAGCAGACCCAGGGTGGGCATGAAAGGGGACGGCCCCAGATAACAAGGAAGCACAGAGGCACCCCGTCCCATGCGGGGCAGCTTCCCCAGGGCCCCTCATTCCTGCCCGTCCCCCCAGCCTGACCTAGCAGCTGGTTTTGCTGTGACGAGCATTGTGCCAGGAGTCACAGACTCTGGGGCTCATCTCGGGCTCTGCCCACCAACCATGAGCCCTCCTATGTCACCTTCGGGGACCTCAGTGTTCCCCCAGCCCAGCGTCCCCATTTTACAGTTGGGGAAACCGAGGCCCCACACCACCACCCCGATTCACCCAGAGCAGGAAGCCAGACCCAGCTGTTCCTCTTCCCCAAGGATGGCGATGGCCCCAGCACCCCGGACCCCGGCCAGACATCTGCCCCAGCACCCCGGACCCCGGCCAGGCGGCTGCCCCAGCACCCCGGGCCCCAGACCCCGGCCAGAC